AACTCATGATGGACCCTGGCATTAGGGAGTCCCCAAGCATCAAGTCTCGGCTCATTCTCTGCTGGGGGAGACCACAGTCTGTAAGCCCCATCCATGTGTAGAGAGCAACCTGCCTGCCTTGTTCTTCACATGGTGGGAACAGGCAAAGGCACTCAGAGCATGGTGGAGCTAATAAATAAATAAATAAATAAATAAATAAATAAATAAATAAATAAATAAATAAATAAAACCTAGAGCATCCAGCGTGCAGGAGGAAGAACTTAGGTCCTCTGAGGATACTACTACATGAAACAAGAAAATGCAGGAGTAAAGGCCCAGGTTTCATCCCTAGTGATACCAAAAATTAAAAATTAATGACAATAACAATGCTACTTTTTAGAAAAGAAATTAATGTTCTTCAAAATTAAAACTCTAAGACCACAGGAGCTAGGGAGCTGGTTCAGGAAGTACCACTCCACAGGCAGGGGGACCTCAGCTTGATCTCCAGAACCCAGGAGCATGGTGGCATGCCTTTGTATTCCCAGAGTAGGGGAGGCAGAGACAGGCAGATCCCTAGGGTCTGCTAGCCTGCCTACCTAGCGTACTTATCAAATTCCAGGCCAAATGAGAGACCCTACCTCAAAAATCAAGATGAAGAGCTCATAAGAAACAATTCACCTAAAACTGACCTCTGTGTAAAAAGATAAAACTTCAGACCGGGTGGTGGTGGCGGCGGTGGCGCACGTCTTTAATCCCAGCACTTGGGAGGCAGAGACAGGTGGATCTCTGTGAGTTTGAGGCCAGCCTGGTCCACAGAGCGAGATCCAGGACAGGCATCAAAACTACACAGAGAAACTCTGTCTCGAAAAAACAAAACAAAACAAAACAAAACAAAACAAAACAAAACAAATTTAAAATGGAAGCTGAGAGGGAGATAACCTCCAGGGAAACAAGACAAAAACCAGAACTATGAAAGTGCTGGGGATGGCCGGTAGAAACCGAGGTCTTTCCCTAGCACAGCGTCATGGGCATGACTGTGCACACCTATAATCCAGCACTCGGGAGGCAGCGACGTGAGAAGTTTTTCAAGCCCATCCTCAACTACATAGCGAGTATGAGGACTACCCTGGGCTACATGAGACTGTCTGTGGGGGACGGGGCGAGGGAGGGACGAAAGAGGCTAACAGAAAAACTCCAACAATATAGAAGGTCCAACTTCCAGCTAAAGGGACCTTCAAACTGAAAAATAACAGAAGAGAGGAAATGACGAGGACTCGTGAGCGTCAGGGGCTGGAGGGATGGCTCAGTGGTTCAGAGCACTTGCGGCTTTTGCAGGGCACCTGGGTTCAGTTCCCAGCACCCATGTCCAGCAGCTCACAACCTCCAGCACCAGGGGATCCGATGTCCTGGCCTCTGTGGACACCCCCATGGAACGTGGCACACACAGATAAATAAAAATAAATCGGAAAAGAAAAATATCAAAGGAGAGAAAAGTGATGCGGGGTCTCGTGAGTGTCCCCAGCTGGGCTCTAAGTTAGTGGTGGGGAGCCCTGGCGGGCGGCTGCCCAGCAGGGGGGCTACAGAGAAGCCCCACCGTTCAAATGGCTAGAAGCAATGTTTTCAGCATCGGGAAATGGTAAAGGGAGCCGGAGAGATGGCTCAGCACACATTGCTCTTCCAGAGGACCTGATTCCATCCCCAGCACCCATGTCAGGCAGCTCACAACCGCCCGTAACTCCAGCTCCAGGGCATCCAGCCCCAGAGCACGTGGACTCACATGCACACACATGCACACACGCATATACATGAACTCCCCTAGCTTGAGAAAAATGGGGGCTGGAGAGATGGCTGCACTAAGAGCACTTGCTGGGCTTGTTGAGGGCTTGGGTTCATTCCCAGCACCCACACGGAAACTCAAAACCATCTGTAACTCCAGTTCCAGGAGATCCAGTGTCCTCTCCTGGCCTCTGTGGGCACTGCATACACATGGTGGACACGCATACAAGCAAAATACCCATATGCATAAGTTATTAAATTTTTTTTGTTTGTTAGGGACAGGGTCTCATTATATAACTCTGGCTGTCCTGGAATTCACTATATAGACCACCCTAACCTCAAACTCACAGAGCTCTGCCTGCCTCTGCCTCCCAAGTGCTGGGATTAAAAGTGTGTACCACCATGTCCAGCCTGAGTTAAAAAATATATATAAAGAAAAAGTGGTAAAAAAAAAATTTAACCTAATTTAAACATTGCAGAGTGTACACAGGTATTGAAATATCACATGGTATGCCACAAATTCATACAATTCTCAAATTTTTGATGTATCTGTTAAAAATAAATTTTAAAAACCAAATGAGTAGCTGAGGCTACAGCTCAGGGATAGAGCATGTGCCTATCATACATGAGGTTCCGGGTTCAATCCTCAGCATTACACAATTAACTAATTTACTAAGGTAATCATTATTTCTCTTACTACCGTGACCACAAATAATAACAAAAGCTAACTTAAGGGAGGAAAAGGTACTCTTAGTTCATGGTTTCCAGAGGTTTCAATCCCTGATAACAGGAAGGAACGGCAGAGCTGAGGCAGAGCTGATCTGGCCACTTGGAATGAGGAGCCCTGTTGTAGTGTTCGGGGACACAGACAGACAGACAGACAGACACATGGAAGGTGGAGGAAACAGAAAGGGGGAGGAGACAAGAGAGGATAATGGGGAAATGGGATCCAAGTACATTCTATATATATATGAAATTGTGAAGGAATAATTTTTTTTTAATTGAAAGCCAGAACACAAAGAAACCATATATTGTGAATGCCGAGGGGAAGCGATTCCTGGTCCAGACACACTCAGCCAAACGTCTGCCAAGTGTGCCGGGAGAAGGAAGGTGCTCACAGGAGTTTTTTCACCTTTCATGCAGGATGTGCTCCAACCAGACAGGAGGAGATGAGCCGGATAAGAGGGTGGAGGGTTTATCCATGAGAGCTAAGGTATGGCATACACAAGTAAACCAGAACATCTAAAACTTAAACCAGTAGACACAAAGACCGAGACACAAGGGAGCTGAAAGTCCCCAGGGCTGCCGAGGGAGGCACCTGGGGTAGACTGGGATTGCCATTTATTCGGCAAGCTAGGATACTTGAAACTCTGGAATCTTTATTAGGTAAGTACACATAATGGGGCTTGTGCATGTGCCACAGCACACATGTGGAGGTCAGAGGACAACTTCGTGGAGTCTGTTCTGTTTTTACATGACTTCAAACTCAAGTCATCACCTTTGCATGGCAAGGGCTTTACCCACTACCCATCCGGCTGGCCCCTAGAGTCTTTTAGTGGAAAGCGTACCTATCAAAATTATAAACCCAGAGAGGGCGGCCAGCAGCAGTAAGGAGCGCTCTGCCTATAGCAGGGGTGAGGCGGCGAGGAGCTGCCAAGCAGAGAGGATAACCCATGAGCTGCACTGCAGCCTCCGATGCAGGCCTCCGAGACAGTGCCATCAACTCAGGACTGCTTAGCAAGGGTGCAAAAGCAGCCCACATTCACGGAGAGCATTATGCAAATTATGCCAGGCTCACAAAGACAGATGCTCTATATATTCTCACATTGTGGTTCCTAGATTTTATACAGACACATAAAAGCTCGTGTGTTTATGGTAATACAAGAAGTGGATGGTCTAAGCCGGTGGTTCTCAACCTTCTGAACGCTGCGGCCCTTTAATACAGTTCCTCATGTTGTGGTGACTCCCCCCAACCATAAAATTATTTTCGTTGCTACTTCATAACTGTAATTTTGCTGCTGTCATGAATTGTAAGTATTTTTGGAGAGAGAGAGAGAGAGTCGCAACCCACTATTGAGAACCACTGTTCTAAGAGAAGAGAGAATGACGGGAAAGGAGAGGCAGGACGGGGAGCTGGGGAAGGGAGGGTGGAGATGTTCCACATACAATATATATGTGTGGGCTGAGAGAGGGTTGGCCCTAAGACAGCATTGCAGAGGACCCGAGTTCAATTCCTGCCAGCACTTGTCAGGCAGCTCCAGGAGGGTCTGGCCTCCTACAGCACCTGTATTCACATGCACACACCTACACACGCAAATTAAAAACAAAAATAGTATATACTTGTAAAAAGTGATTTTAAAGCACTCCTACACTCAGTAGAAACTTAGTAGGGGGTGAGTTTTCGTTTACTTTGTATGTGTTTTCATTTACATGATGTATGAACGTCTTGCCTACATACATGTCTGCGCAACACGTGCATGTAGTGCCCGAGGCAGCTAGAAGAGTGCATCAGATCCCCTGGGGCTGGAGGCTGTGAGTCACCACGTGGGTGCTGGGAATCAAGCCAGAGTCCTCGGGAAGAGCAGTCAGTGCACTTAACCGCTGAGCCATCTCTCCAGCCCCGAAACTTTGAGTTTTGTTTTTCTGTTTGGATGTTTTGTTTTTAATCTTCCACACTGATTAACTCTATACAGTCCAATTCCTCCTGCAATGTAAGCAGCGGCAGCGGCAGCCGGGCCAGCGCTGAGACCATGAGGGGAACAGCCCCGCCCCCAGCCTGCTCTGCTGCAGGCTTCCGGTATACAGAAGGACCCCATGCATTTCAACCTAGGACAGACTTGGAGGAACAGAAGCCAGCCTAGATCTGGGGGCTCCTGCATCTACACCCCAGCCTGTAGGTGGCTGTCCCCATACCTCTACTCTAAGCTCTAGGGCTCTCCCCATGCCTCTAAGAATGGTCAAAGGCCTCCCAGTCCACTGCAGCACACACATTCCACCAGACCCCAGGCCTAGCTGGACCCCTCAGCCCCCACACCCTGCAGCTCCTAAGGCAAACTACAGATGTGTTCCTGAAGACAGCTCATCTCAAAGTAACCCTGTACAGTTCGGCTTTACGGCTGAGATGGACTCCAGACCCTTCCACAAAGTCAGGGGCTGCTCCAGAGTCCAGAATCCTCTCAGCTGCCATAGAACCGACAAATCATTTCTTTACAGAATGCATTCAGGGTCCCAACCAGCCAACTTACCACTTGGAACTGAGTGATGAGTGGAGAGTGGATTGACAATGTCTGTCAAAATCCAGAAGCACAGAAGTGTCTCAGACAGCAGGTGACCTGGCAGTCTCTGAAAGAGGATGCAGGTACAATGTTTATGACCTTGGGATACCTGGTTTCCAACCGCAGCTTCACTACGTAGCACCCGAATTCACAGTTGATCTCTGTGCCTTGGTTTGCTCATTTATAAAATGGAGAGACTTCCCTCACAGGACATCTGTGGCCATTTAAAGCATAAAGGCCTGTGGGTTCCTACCAGCATGTCAGTCCCAGCTGTGAGCTGCTGCTCCTACAGGATGCAAGCATGTTGCCAATCCCAGTCATTCAGATGCCATTAGGGCATGGTGCACGGTGACCATCTAACTGATGCCCCTGCTTTGCCCTCTGCAGCTTTGAACAGTGAAGCTCACAGTGCTAATCTGGCCATCAGCTGCTTGCCAGGCAGCTGCGGGGACCAAGTGTAGTTAGAAGTTGGGGCTCAGCAGAGACAAACACAGACAAGGCCTCTACCCTCTGCCACCTCCGAGTCGCCCAGAAGACTGTGCGAACACTGGGAGCTCTCCGAGGCGTCTCTGGGTTAGAGGAACAGAACTCTCCTGGGTAGGCACCAACAAACGGCTACCTCTCCTCATAGGGTATCAACCAGACAGAGTCCAAAGTGGGGAACCCATGCATTTATTGGACTTACTCACCAGGCATAAGTGACCCCAAAGCACTTGCCCATACCCGCAGAGATGGAGTTCAGTTACCCTCCTGCTCTCCGTACCCGCTGGATGCCTTCTGAGATCTTGCATGTACCCCACATGCACTTAGGGCAGAATCACACACAGCTGGCTGGGAGGTGCAAGAGGGTGTGGCTAGAACCTCAGCTGAGGATCCAATGACCCTCCCTCCTCCCTCCTATGAGGCAGCATCAGGAGTCAACAGGCCCCATCTGTAGGGTCCCCGGCAAGTAGTCACAGCTGCCCTGATGAAGATGGCAGCTGGTATACTCAGAGAGCTGCACTCTACCACAGAGGCAGGGGCGGGGAACCACGGGACGGGACGGGGAGAGGCTGAGGGGGTCTTTTTCACACTCCAGGGGCAGGAGGTCTCCCTGTTGAAACCTCACTTTGAAGCCCGTTGGGTCTCCCAAGTGCTCTTCCCAGGGCTGACAGCCCTAATCCTGTACTGCCTATGGCACCTGGCACAGACCTTGGCAGAGGAAATGAGACCAGAAGAGAAAGCACACCTTTCTCGCAGCCCCAGGCGGGTACCTGCCTTCAGCTAGCTCCTCAGCATGCCACCCCAGCTGGAGCAGCTCTAGCACACCGAACATCTACAGACAGCAGAGTCCCCTCAGACACACTCAGCACATTTGAGCCATTTCCACCACCACCCAAAAAAAATTGGGGGCTGGTGTCCTTCGCTAATGCAAAAACACCGTGTCTGGCATCGTATCTGCCGGTTCCCGGGAGCCCCTCACTGTGTCTGCCTCAGTGAATTGTTGCTGCATTCTGGCTGAGCGCAAGGTGCACCCAGCTGAAGCTGTGGGGCTGGGAGCAAGGGAGGCCAGCATCAAGGACTCCAGGCAGCACCCTCCCTCGCTCCCCCTCTGCTCCCCCTGCCTCCTCCCGGGCTGAGCTTTGTTTGCTGACAACAAACAGCTCTCAATTCCACCCCGCCAAGGCCAGAGAGAGATGAGGCATTTTGCTGCGAGGGGAAGATAATAACCATGGTGGCCACCGTTTGTTGAGTCAGACACCGGCCACCAGCTTTAGGGGGTCATACCCACCCAGGAGTCAGGCCCTTTCACTGTCCCCATTGTACGGAGAAGGACAGCAGAGACATCAAGAGAGCCTGGTGAGGCACCCGGGGTGAACGGATGCCCAAGACTGTGCTGTGAGCCTGAGGCTGCCGTGGAGCCCGGGATTGGTGGGAACAAATCAGGATTCTGAGCGTGAAGGAAGCAGATGCAGAGCAGCCTGGCTATGTGAGCAACACACATGGGATTAGGTGGAAGGGGAGACAGTTAGCCCGTCGTCCTGCTGGAGAATTTCCTAGTGCTGATGTGACGTGAGAATAAAGCCCAGTCCCCACACACAGATTCACCCACTTGCTGGAAACTGCCTGGTGCCTATGGCCCGGGATGGTGAGAGCGCCCGGTGCTAACATCTGTCTTTGTTCACTGAGCTGGACCTAGTGAAGCTTGAGCTTACTAATGCCTGGGCTCAGTGCAAGGGGGGATTTGATTAAGAGGACTTCCAGGAGCTTCTGTCAATCGAGCATCCTCTCCAGGCTTCCGAACCCTCAAACCTGAGCATTCACAGCCTGACAGTGTGGCCAGGACATACAGATGACCCTTGAACTCCAAGAGGGCATAGCTCCCCAGAGCCTAGCTTACCTCACAAGTCCTCACAGGCACTTCATTCTCCCATGGGCAAGTGTGTGTGTGTGTGTGTGTGTGTGTGTGAAAATTACATGTAATTCGCCACTTTAACCATGTCAGGAACTCAGTTCAGTGACAGGCACTCACAACACTGCGTGTCCATCCCCACCACTCACTGGTAAACCTTTGTGGTCGCCCAAACTGTGCCCCCATTAAGCCATAGCTCCCGCACTTCCCCACTTCCGGCCCTGCCAAGCATCTACTGTCTCTTATTTTTGACTACACTAGATACCGAGTTTAAGTGGAACATGTAATACAGGCCCATTCTGTTTGCAGATTTCACTTAGGATAGCGTCTTCGAGGTCCTTCTATGTTGTGGCATGTGTCACTGCACGGATCTAATATGAGATGCTGACCCGCTCATCTATGGGCATTTGGCTGCTGGGATCACAGGGCTCTGCGTATGTGTCCAAGCTCCCCTCCTTTTAACGATTTTGTAATGGCTGTCTGGGCCATTGTCGAGCTCATTCCCTGGCACAGAAATCCCAGGAGACAATTAGAATTTTGTTACATACCTTCTCATTCCAAGTGGGAAGAACCAGGGCACAATCACAATCAGAAATAGCTGGTCACATAAACAGCCCTTAGGAGAGTCTTTGCTTCTCTCTGAAACTCCACAAGGCAGGCCTCCCAGCCCATTACCAACCGCAGCTGACTGGCAGGTGGGCCCTGCCTCATAGGTTTGCTTCTGGTGCCCATCACATCCTTATCTGGTCCAAAGCTGAGCAGGCTGGAGGCTTTTAGGGGACCCATGAGCTGGCCTGGGGGTTAGTGTCACCCAATTGACGACACAGGTTACATTCAGCTCATGGGTCCTTTTAGACTCGGCCAGGAAGGTTTCAGACTCATGCATCAAAGGCCGCTGTTACTTTGCCCAGCTTTCAACAGGAACTGACTGTGCAGATCCCACTTCCTCATGACATCTCACTACCCAAACAGGCGGCCGAGAGTCCAAGGTCACAACAAGCAGCCCCTGTAACAGAAAGCAGAAGAAAATGTGGCTCCTCAATGGGAAAAGGTCTAAAGCCATTCCTGGTGTCCCCCTGACGGGTATAGGTACCTGTATCCTCTCCTTCCTCATTCGTGACCATGAAAGAAAGGGGAACATATCTGCTCTAATCACGGGTAGACTCTTGACCACCCGTGACCTTAATGATTAATCTTATCCATGGAAAAGCCACCATTCAAAAAAAACTCTGATGTAAACATTCCCTTTGACCCATTTTTCTTGTTTGTTTTTTTATTTTTAAACACTCGGTGGATAATTTACCCAAAATCTAGAGAATATGGAATGCTTTTTCCTTAGCCTGTTGATGTCACAGCAACTGGAAAGGAAGAAAAAAAAAAAAGCAGGCATTCAGGGCATGAGAGGGCAAAACAAAAAGCAGGCTTTGAGCAGGGAAAGATAAAGAGAAGGCAGAATTTGAGAGGCCATGCAGAAAGAGCAGGCATTAAGACCCAGTGCAGGCCTCATCTCCAGCCTCCACCCAAGCAAGCTGATCTGTCCTTGCCTCCAGCTCTTACTGGCTCCTGGCAAACTGATACCAAGGCAAAGGGCCTTTCCTGTCTTCTCTGCCAACTAACCACGGCAGTGCCTGGAATCGAACCCACGGCCTCAAGTGTGTAGGCAGTCCTTCTACTGCTGAGCCCCATCCACAGCCCCCCACCCCAGCACTCACACTTCTTCCCTTCCCCGCTCCTCCATCAGTCTGGGGTCCTCCAGTGCCTGGTGTCTCCTAAAAGACCAGCAATGAGCTCTGCGCATGCAATGGGGGCATGAGGGAGGCTGGGCTGGAGAAGGGGTGTGTGTGTGGAGGGAGCATTTGCAAGGTCAGAGATGTGTCATCGGCCTCACAGTCCAGCCGAGGGAAACCCTGCTCCTGCTATCATAGCTCCTGCGAGTTCCCACATGGTGACGACTCTTTGAGGCAGGACATTCCGACCTCTCCTGAGAGCTTCAAGGGGTGAGGAGTCACGCTGGCTCCAGACGAACAACCAAAGCCCCTGGGGGAAGCTGTCTTCCACCGGGACAGGGCTTTCCCTCCTAGCTCAGGTAACTGCCTTCATTTGGAGTTCAGCCACTCCCCTGCCTGAACCCAGGGCAATCCGGCTATCACTTTCTTTACAACGGCTCAGGAAAGAGAAAGCTTCGAGAGCGGGACTTCCGGGTCTTCCATTCCCTACAAACAGCGTAGACCCAGGGCCTGCACTTAGTTCTTCACACCTCAGGGGCCAAATATCTGAGTGTGGGGTGCAGAAGCAATCGAGCAGAGGAGTGCCCTTGCCCATGGACCCTTCCCGGGTGTACTGTTCCCAGGGGGTACTGCATCGGGAGTCTGCATCCCCCAGCCTTCCACCCTGGGAGATGATGGGTTCCTTGGGATTCGGTTTGCCCTGCCTCTTGGTGCAGGCCAGGGTGGCAGCATTAGGCTCCTCTGTGATTCTCAGGGGAGAATTCTCCTTCCTCCTGTAAAAGATGGGAGTCCAAGCCTCTACTCTCCTTACTCCCGGAAGAGGTGGGGCTAACTGGGGGCTCCCACTGTGCTAGTCATGGTGGAAGGGGTCCCCTGGCTAGGAAGGGGCCCTCAGTGTCAGATGGGTCATGGATATTTGAGTCCTATGCAGTTTGCAGTTAGGTATACAACCTTGAGTAGAGGACTTCTCAGATCAGGGAGGGACCCCCAGAACTATTCCAGGGTGCTGCTGGTGGTCATCTGGAGGGCTGTGGGTTTGTTCCCTGACATAAACAAAGAACCGAACATCTAGGAAAGACAGATGACCAAGCTGCGGAGAAAGGGAAAGCTAACAGCTTCAAGTATCGGGGATAGGAGGGGCCCAAGGCTGAGAGTCTGCCAAAAACACACGTGCTTGGATATTTTAGAGAAGCCCTGGGCTTCCCCATGCCCCTATTGGTCCTGTCAAGGGAATCCCCTCCTCAGTGTGTTCTCTAAATTCCTTCTAAGAACAAAAAGCTGCTAAGTCAGGGGGGCGATTTTCCCTCTTCCCCC